GACCACTAGTGTGAGCAGTAGGACTGGTTTCAAGAGCCTTGGTGGAGGCCATCCAGCTGGTGGCTGAGGCCATTCCAGTCCCTAGGCCATGGGCAAGATTGAAAGTGAAAGCAGCAGTCCTGCAGGGAGTGGGCAGATTTGCTGGGCTCAGGGTTCTTCCACCAACTATGACATTTCCTCCAGAGCCCAAGGCCTCCCAGATACCTCACTGCTGCTGTGGGATAAGGGGATAAATAAAAAAGCCAGTAGGGCAACTGGGTCCCTGCCTCCTTCCAGTTCCACATGACATTCAAGTCTAAGCTAAACAGGAGACCTTGTCCTTTCTCTGCCTCATTCCGAAATGACCCAAGGGAAGTCTTACCAAAACACCAAGGCTACAGTCAGTTCTGCTGCTCACTGCACAGAAAGCCAATCACTGAGACAGTCAGTACTGCCAAGGAAGAAGGCTATAATCAGATGCTGCAGCTGAGATGGAAGCTCAGTCTCAAATCCATCCCCCGGACCAACTAAAACTAGGGGTTTAATAGCAGGGAAGAAATTTAACAATGTGTAAGAAAACAGGAACTAGGGAGGGGCAAGGAAGCAATCAAGATGAAAGAGGGGTCTAGCATTTCACTGTCTGGATGTGATGATCTGGTGAGTTTCAGTTCTTTGATCCCTTTTTTTTTTTTTTTTGAAAGGCCTGAAGATTGCTTCCTGAGGGAGGAACTCAGATAAAACAAATGTAAGGTTCAAACTTTAAGACCAGAAGGGTTCATTTCTATTTTTATCAAAAGAACAGTCCATGGCAGGGCTCCCCAACCCCTGGGCCACAGAGCAGTACTGGTCTGTGGCCTGTTAGTAAATGGGCTGAGCAGCAGCAGGTGAATAGCAGGCGAACAAACATTACTGCCTGAGCTCTGCCTCCTGTCGGATCAGTGGTGGCATTTTATTGTCATAGGAGTGCGAACCCTACTGTAAACCACACATGTGAGGGATCTAGGTTGCACGCTCCTTATGAGAATCTAACTAATGCCTGACGATCTGAGGTGGAACAGTTTCATCTCGAAACCATTGCCCCGCCCACCAAGTCCATGGAAAAATTGTCTTCCACGAAACCAGTCCCTGGTGCCAATAAGGCTGGGGACCACTGGTCTATAGAACTGTCGGGTCAGTTTCAGAAGGACCACCGGCCACAAGACATATTTCACTGAACAGCTGTTTCAACAATACAGTCAGTTCAGTCTGTGTTTCATGTGTGTTTATATCAGGTATTATATAGAGCACACTGTCATACATATCTGTATATAGATAATATATATATGAGTGTATATAATATATGCATCTGTATAATTATAGAGATGGCTCAAATCAAAGTACCTAATGTTTTCCTTAATCTCTCCTAAGTGGAAAGAAAAATATAAACGGGATGAATGGATGGGGAAAAAAGGACAAAGTATTCAAAGCATTTCCTACGAAAATGACAATATGTTTATATGAGAGTTGCAATAAAAATACGGAGCGCTGAGTCAAACCACTGATAAACAACAAATATTTTTGGATAACTGTGTCTCATGCAATATTTGGGACATGCTCTATACAAAAATATTTGTTGTTTATTTGAAACTCAAATACGAGTGTCCTGCAGTTTACCTGACAATGCAAGATTATTTCCTATACTTCAACATCAACAAGATTTGATTGCATTTAAATGTTTCTGTCCATTTGTTCTTCTATGTAATCCTTTTAAAGTAATTGGCATAAAAATTCAATCAATTCATAGAAGTCCAAAGCAAAAAAAAAAAAAAAAAAAAAAAAAAAACAAATCTACTGACATCTCATGAGGAAGAAAGGATCAGGATTGACATTAATGAACCCTCTCACAGAGACCACTCCACACACAAAAACAAAGAAGGCTGGGTGAATGGATGCAGAGAGAATTTAATAAGACTGAAATGATGCCATACATGCTTTTAAAAAATAAAAGTATTAAATTTTAAATTTTACTTCAATATAAGAGAAGAAAAAGAACAACACGGAGATTGAAAGAACTGCTGAACTTCAGGAAGTTTTACTTGATCACAAATAGATACTAGTTTTATAAAATTCCCTTTTTCTTCTCAAGGGTGCCCTGCCCTTCCAGCCTGGTACCTTGCCCCTTGAGGCATAATATTTCTGAAAACTGTCCAAAGGACCTACATATTGTTAAGAAGAGCTGCAAAATGTACCAGAGAGAAAGATCAGGTGAGCTGGTGCCTGATTCATTACTGTGAGGTCTCCTCTCTCGGACACTTGTGAAGTCTTAGTCATCAGTGCTCTGAACCTTAAGATCAGAACCAAATAAAGAGAATAAAAGATAAAGTTAGAGGCCGGGCGCGGTGGCTCAAGCCTGTAATCCTAGCACTTTGGGAGGCCGAGACGGGCGGATCACGAGGTCAGGAGATCGAGACCATCCTGGCTAACACGGTGAAACCCCGTCTCTACTAAAAATACAAGAAAATTAGCCGGGCGAGGTGGCGGGCGCCTGTAGTCCCAGCTACTCGGGAGGCTGAGGCAGGAGAATGGCGGGAACCCAGGGGGGCGGAGTTTGCAGTGAGCCGAGATCGTGCTACTGCACTCCAGCCTGGGGCACAGAGCAAGACTCCGTCTCAAAAAAAAAAAAAAAAGAGAGAAACTTCAGGCAGGGATGGAAGGCAGAGAGCAAAGCATATATGGGCACGGGACTTATAATAAGGAACAGCAGGACAGCACAATGGCATTCTTGGATTGTCGGCTTTAGAAATGCTGTCAATTATATTCTACTGCTCCAGAGAATGAAAATTGCTTAAAATTGGCTTCTTAGGCAGAGTTTACAAACTAGCAGCTCCAGCCTGAGTCTGTTCTGCAGACCTGATTTAGATGGCCCCCATACTTTTCAATAAAACATATTTCAGTTAGTTACCAACATTTAAAGAACTGAAGGTTTCATATCAACATTTTAATTTGGGGCCAATCTTGAAAAACTGAAAAATCTGGCAGTCCTGGCCCAACATTGCCAGCCAGCAACACTAAGCTGGAGCTGAATACTGGCTGCCCCTTTGGAAGACACATGTTCTTTCCCAGTTTGCCACAGTCCCTACTCTGCTTGCTTCTTTCTTTTATGTTACCTGTCTGGCCTTGTCAACATTTGAATTTACAACTCTGATTATTACAATTTTTCTATTATGCAAACTGTCAGACATATATAAAAGCAGAGAGAATGGTAAAGATGAACCCTATTTGTACCCATTACCCAGTTTCAACAATTATTCATAGACAACCTTGTTTCATGAATACCCTAACCAATTCTCAAACACACTTGGATCTCCCCCTGGATTTTTGTGATGCACATCTAGACATCACATCATTTCACCAGTAAATATTTCAGTGTGTATCTCCAAAAGAACCAAATGTATGACTCCTAACCAGGCTTCTTCTGTTGTGTCACATATGCCATGAGTTATACTGTAGTGAGAGGATATATTACAGAGTAATAGTAATAAATATTTCTGAGGTCTTACTCTGTGACTAGGTATTGTGCTAGGTATTTACATATATTGTCATTTATTCCTCTCAATTCTATGGCATAGACAATGCTTTTATTCCCATCTTATAGATAATCTTCACATAGATGTCCTCTCTAACATATATACACATGTGTGTGTGTATATATATATACACACACACATATATGCAAATACACTGCATATTGTTTATATTTATATACAATATAACATATTGTATATACTTCATACTGATACTATTCACATATATATTTAATTGTATTAATATATAAACTAGAAAAGTAGTCTGGTTCTATTTTCTTTGGTCTTTTTTGAAATCATGTCAACTCTGATAATGGGAAATTTCCATAAGCTGAGGTTTACTTATCCCATTTTCTATTCACAAAAACTCAAAGTATGAACTTATTTCCCAAACCTGGAAAAGGCAACAAAATCACACAAACTTCAGAATATCTGGGGCAATGGTATCTACGTCTTGAAGCAGGTTTTAGAATGGCTGCCCTGCCAAATAAGTTTTTTCAGGTATAGTGACCTGCACACTGGTTTCAGTCATGCTCATGCATCTTACAAGTTCCTTTCTGGAAGGAGAAAACCACAAATGTTCAGTATTTAGAGTTGTGGATGAAACAAAATTTATGTTGTTCATTTCAAGCTTGCTTTTAAATACTTATCCCCCAACACCTCTCCCCGAGTACACTATTTTGTAATATCCAGATTAAGGCTGTCTTTAGGAATGATTTTCCCCCATACTGAATGTAAGGGGGCACAAAAAAGTTCAGGATTCCAGAAAAATAACACTTTTTGCACTACTCTGAAAAATCAAAAATATTATGAGCAAATTATCAAATATTTAAATAAAAGCAGAATTTGCCCATCCACTTGCACGACCATGCCTTACTCTCCTCACCCTGATCATGGTTCTGGTTCCAATAAAATTCTACTTATACAAACCTAGTTATCAAGCCAAAGTTTCCCCACTTGATTCATTTAAATGTTGTTTGAAAATATTTACCTTGATGTCCAGGAGGCATTGCCTCCACCCTGAAGTCCAAGGGTAAACAGGCCCCAGCAGCCTTGAAACCCCTAGGTAGCCTTTGGCTCAGAAAGGTTTGGAAGGGGCCTGGGGAAAGAGAATAAGCCCTAAGCCCAGCCCCTGCTCCGTGAAAAGTGGGTGCCGCCTGAGCTTGCCACTTACCTAACACGTCCGGGTATGGAACGAGTTGGAAAATGTTCTTCAGCTCCTGTAGTTGCACCAATGTGAAAGTGATGAGCCAGAGGAGCTGCTGAATGTCCTCAGGCTTTCTGAGTTCGTGGCCACTGCCACTGTGGAGTTTCTCTTTGTCCTTGGGGCCAGGGCCTGCCGAACTACCGCGGCATTCTGCTGCTGCTGCTGGTGTGGCTGCTCCTTGTTTACATTTGGACGGTATTTTGCCCTTCTCGTTTTCGCCTGATACAGCCACTGAGATCACGGAAGGAATCCCATCTGGAAAGGCGGAAAGGCAAAGAGAAAGATCAGAACACTGGAGGCCTGGGTTTGCGGGCTGGAGGAGGTTAGGGGCCGCAAACGGAAAGCTGCACAAAGATAATCGGCTGTCGCAGGAAAAGGTAGTTTGCCCGAGTACACTGGAGCACCTGGCACCATCCAGGCACTAACCATTAAGTTCTTCCCGGTCCTCGATTCCCCGGGTGCGATATCGGTGCCATCTTGGCTTCTCCTGGGCTGAAGGTTCAGTCCCTGCTGTCGATGAAACGGCGCGCCTCCGCAGACTCTGAGCTGCGACCTGCGGTAATCCCCGGTAGGGACAAGAAGTGCAACGCCTCTTGAGAAAAGTCCAAGTACTCCAAAATTTTAGCAATGACTCCACCACCTCAGAGTGCAAGTGTAGACCGCAGCCCAGTGCTTAGTGCATCCAAGAATGTTAATGTTTACACTGCATGGGCTCTGGCCGCGACAGTGGCTCTGCTGTGCTCCACCTCGGGGCTTCTGGTTACAAGTACTCTACACAAGCTTAAGTGTTCCCTGTGTTGGGCTCCTGCTGTGGGCCTGGGCAAGTTTCCACCTTTTCCCTGCCTCCTCCTTCTTCCACATTTTCTCCCATTTTCTAGAAATAAAATCGTAATCTTGTGCTCAGAAATAAATAAAACTTTATTGTTAAATAAAAGAGGCAGGCCAGAATGAGGACTTTATGGTTCTCCCTTCAAGATGTGTTTTGCAGACGCTCCAGAAGATGTTAATATCCTGAGCATTGGAAATAGCTTCCAATAATAGGCCCTATGCTTGGTATCGTACTATGATATTGGTCTATCCTATTTTTCCCTTTGCAACTATCATTATCTTCAGCACCATTTTATGAAAGAAATTTTCATGGGCCGCTAAGGGTGTCTGTCATGGGGCTTAGGTACCTTACCTACTGTATCTAATGGATAAGTGCCCCTGCCTCATATTTCTGCAAGATGGCTAAGAAATCAGCTAAAAAAAAAAAAAAAAAAAAGGTGATTAAACAATTCACTTTCAAAAAGATGTCAAGGGATGGCAATCTCACAGCCGCTCTCTGACTTCAACCAAAATGTTGCCTCCTCCATCTGACTTTTGTTGGAGTCTGCACCCCTCTCCTTCTCTTGCCTAATCAGTTCATGATCAATTTTCAGCCTTGGATCAAATGCTGCATGAGAGACATGTAAGAGTTTTAATCATGGGGTGCAGTAGACTAGCTGAGACATCTGTGACAGCTCGATGTTCTTCCACATCTCAGATTTCTACAGTGTACCCCAGTGTTTTCTCACCTTCAGTCACTCATAGGCACCTTAGGTGAGTGTTGTTGCCCTATGTGGGCACCAGAAAAGCTAGTGTTTACTTAAATGTTTTATTTTAAATATAATTTAGTTTTTAATTTTTGATTCACTCTTGAAAACCTTAGGTACCCAATGGAACCCTCGTCCTAAGCAAAAATAGCCACAAATCACGGCCTGATGTAACAGATTTATGTGAGCAGCGACCCTAGAACCAGACTGGATATCTGAATCATGGCTTCACTCACCACCTGCTAGCTGGCTAATCTGGTGAGCAGTTTATTCTCATTTTGCCTTGGTTTAATAATTTTTTAAATGGAGATAACAGTCATCCTTAAATCATAGAGGTGTTTTGAGGATTAATTGAGGTGCTTAATTATACAATTTCACAAATGACCAGACCATGTAGCCTCACATTTCCTACTTGACTCACTTTCATATTTTTTTATTCACAAGGGAAAGAGAGAGAGTGATTGTTATCCTCCGGGAGCATGTAATGAAGATAGAGCATCTTCTTGTGAAAACAATACATGTACCACGTTTCTATGTACGTATATGTGCTTCCGTCAGTAAGCCTATGTTGGCTGCTGCATGTATGAGCCCTGGGCCAGGAAATGTGCCAGAAGACTGTGTCTTTCACTCAGCAGATCGATTTTCTTTCTTGGCCTAATATATTTTATTCTTAGATACCAGATAATGTAATAAACATTACCATGTATTAAGTACCTACTCTGGACCCAACCCAAGAACAAGCCTTATGAAAGTGATATAAGCAGGGGCACGATGGTGTAATTCACATTTTCATCATCAGATCACTCTGGCTGCTGGGTGGAGAATGTTTATAGGAGAAAAAAGGTGAAAGCAGGGAGACAGGACATTAATGCATTATCCCAGGTTTAAGATGACAGTGATTATCTTAGGCATGTCAGAGAAAAAAATTAAAGGTTTGGGAATGGGTTTCTGAGGTGGGGTCAACAGGATTTGCTGATAAATTGACTATTTGGAGTTGAAGAAAAAGAATAAGACAGTCTATATGTAACCAAGTACCTCTTTTTTAAAGACTCAAATGAATTATTTTTTCCTTTTTCCTTTCCTCACACCTCCTACTTAGCTCTTTGGGAATGCCATTATAACCTTTACCTTCTCTCCACCAGACACTCCCTACACAGCAAGCTTATCTAACTACGTGTTTACTTAGAAGTTACAGAGACTGAACCTTAAAGCAAACCAGGAACCTCCAGAACTCTCTCCTACCAGGAGGCAAATTGAGATTGCCTCAATTTACAACCTAGCTCTGCCCATGACGGTGCCAGCCAGACCACCTGATAGATAAGACATCCGAAGCAAGTCACACAGACTCCACACTCCATCGCCCTCTCCCCTGCATGTCGTTCATGCCAAGCCCCCCTTTCAAAGCTCCTGCCTTCTGCCCCAAAGGCTGTAGTGGCTTCCTTAAGGCAGCCTGTACTAATCCCCTCAGCTAGCTCTGGAATAAAGCCACTTTCTTTTACCAGATGTCATTCTTGTTCATTGGACTTTGCAAGTGGCGAGCAGTTAGAGCTGTGTTCAGTTACACGTATGCTTTGCCTCATTGAACTCTCATGAAAACCCAATGATCGAGACACTGTTGTTATCTCCATTTTATAGGTGAAGAAGCTAAGAACCAGATAGATTCATCCAGTGTCCCAGGACACACAGTGAGTCATGCTTCGGATCTGTGCTCCTAGCTGATGCCTCCCATTACTAGTAGTCCTTTCCTGCTCCCTACAATGTACATTTCTTCATTTCTTTTTCAATTTTCTTATTATCTATTTTTCTTCTTCTTCCTCTCTCTTTTTCACTAGGGATAGAATGCAAGGATCTCACTTAGCCTAGTGGATGGCAGTCAATTAATGGGGCGAGTGGCTTAGTCCTGCCATACTGGTTCCCTGCATGCTGCCAAGTGCAAGGGCTTTTCCATGCTCAGAATCACCATGAAGACCAGAGCTCTCTCTCGGTAGGCTACAGACTCAACGGGTCTGAATCTTTATATATGCTGCCAAAAAACCCTCAAATAACCAATATTTGTAAATAGATACAGAAAGTTTTTAAGAGAACATTTAAAAATAATAAAAATTTTAAAAAATATTTTTAAAAAACAAAATAAAGTATATACCATCACTTAACAGCACACACACAATCTCTAGAAAAATTAAGGATTCATGAGTTGTCCACCCTCAGAAAACGTCTCCATGCCCTTCCTCGTGACAGACTCTCTAGCATTTTCCTTTCTTTCATTTTCATTTTATTTCTTATTTTATTATTTATTTTAGAGAAAAGGGGCCTCTATCTGTTGCCCAGACTGGAGTGCTGCCACATGATTCTAGCTCACCGCAGCCTCAAACTCCTGGGCTCAAGTGATCCTCCCATCTCAGCCTCCTGAGTAGCTGGGACTAGTGCAGGAGCCACTGCACCAGGCTCTTCAGGGTTTTTCTTCGTGATTGGGCTTATTGGGGTGGGGTGGCCAAAACACAGGGGCAGTAGTAGGGAGGCTGTGTAGTTATGAGGCTCTGCGGAGCAGAAGTGGCTCCACATCCAGTAAGCTGCACATCCATAGATCCCAAATCTCCATCCCAAGAGTGGAGATTTTTGGCAGGTATGCCCTTACTAGGATTCTTCCTATACCATCCCCGATTTTTATGTATTTATTTATTTATTTATTGCTTGTCCTAATAGCACTCCATTTTGCCATGAGTACAGGTTTCTCTTGCACAGCCAAAGATATTCAGTCTCAGGCTAACAGATTCAGCCTCGTGTTTATTCTGTGTTGACTTTCTCAAAGGGTGCATGGGATTTCTTACAGAGCACATCTTACCACCCAGAATGCTCTGCATGCCTATCTCCCAGATCCCAATCCCAGCACTGAAGAGAGCATGGCAGCTCTGCTTTCAGTGCCTTTGCTGGAACTCTGAACAAGCAGCCCCCTAGCCAATCGTTTCAGCTTAATTACTAGCCCGTGCCCCATGTAGGCTGCCAAATATGGAGGGTCAGGCCATGAGATATTCTCCAAACTTGCTCAAGCAGTCCTATGGTCACTGTGAGATCTCACCTCCCCCTTAAGCACCCAAATCAGCTTTCCTCGGGGTAATAACTAGGCCCGAGTAGGGTGTAGTCAGCTAAGCTGCAAGCTGGGGCCCCATGTTGCATACATATATGCCTCCTGTTGGCCCTTCTCCACACTGCCCCTATGTTTTGGCTACCCCATTCCACCCTCAACCGCCACCCCCACCCACGACCCATACCACACTCCTCACCCCACCCACAACCCCTACCCCCACCACGCACCCCCCACTCACAGCCCCCACCCTCCACCCACACCCCCAGCACGTACCCCCACCCCCAACCCACAACCCCCACCCTCACTGTGCACCCCCCACCCTCCACCCATACCCCATCCCCACCAGCAACCCCCACCCTCATTGTGCACCCCCACCCAGCTTCCCACCCCCCAACCACACCCCACCCCCACTTGCAACCCCCACCCTCACCGTGCACACCCCCACCCCCCACTTGCACCCCCTCTCCCCCACCCACACCCCACCCCCACACTTACACCTCCCACTACCACCTGCAACCCCCCACTCCTCACCCCCACCCGCACCCCCACCTTCCCATCCCCCCACTCCTCTCCATTCCCTCTCTTGCTTGTGCGTATAAGCAAGTCCCCCTGATTGCAACTGTAACCAATACCAAGCATGAGAACAGGAACTAGCTCCACCCTCTGACCCCCGGCTCCAGCTGCAGACGCCACGGGGTTTGTGTAAGGGGCGCAGCACTCCAGCCATGGCACGTTCGCTCGTCCATGACACCAAGTTCTACTGCCTGAATGTATACCAGGTAAAAATAAGCTCCACACCTGAGCTGGGGGCAGCATCAAGGGTAGAAGGCCATGTTGGCCAAGGAGCTCCAGGCCTCATGGGTAATATGAACCCTGAGGGCGGCGTGAACCACGAGAATTACATGAACCGCTATGGCGGCATGATCCACGAGGGCGGCGGTGGAAACCAGGGGCCTAGGCAGCTGCAGCAGCCCCTGGAGGAGCCGGCCCAGGCGGCCATGGAGGATCCGCAGCCCGAGAACATGCAGCCACGAATTCGGCGCAAGAAGTTCACGCCGTTGCAGGTGCAGGAGCTGGAAAGTGTTTTCCAACGCACTCAATACCCTGATGTGCCCACAAGGTAAGTGTCCTGCTCCAGGAGCCGCGAGATCCAAGTTCGTTTCGAGGCATCTTTTTCTCTCCCTTGCCCCACCCAGTCATGAGGAAAAAGCCACTGGGGGTCCTTGCCTGCCTTTGTGCTGGTGTGGAGGGGAATGTTCACCTCCTGGGCATCAAGGTAAATATTTTATTGCAAGGTTTATGTGAATGAAACCTGGAAACTAGTTCGTGCCTCCCTTTTTTAAAGATGTGGTAAAATACACAGACGTGAAATTTACCGTCTAAACCACTTTTTAAGTATAGAGTTCAGTTGTGTTAAGTATGTTCACACTGTTGTGCAATAGAGCTCTAGAATTCTTCTCATGTTGCCAAGCTAAATCTCTATACCAGTTAAGCAACTCCCCTTTTCCGCCTTTCCCCAACCCCTGGCAACCACCATTCTACTGTTTTATTTTATGTCTCTATTATTTTGACTACTCTAGGTACCTCATGTAAGTAGAATCATACAGTATTTGCATTTTTGTCACTGACTTATTTCACTTAGCATAAGGTCTTCAAGGTTCATCCATATTGCAGCATATATTACAATTTCTTTCCTTTTTAAGGCTAAATAATATTCAATTTTATAGATATAGGTGCATACACACCAACAGTACATGGGGGTTCCAGTTTCTCCACATCCTCACCAACACTTGTTATTTTCTGGGGTTTTTTACATAGCCATCCTAATGGGTGTGAGGTGATACTTCATTATAGTTTCGATTTGCATTTCCCTAATGATTGGTGATGTTGTGCATCCTTTCATGTGCTTAGTGGCCATTTGTATACCTTCTTTGGAGAAATGTCTCTTTAAGTCCTTTACCCATTTTAAAATCTGAGTGGCTTTTTCTTTTTTTCTTTCTTTCTTTTCTTTTTTTTTTTCTTTTTTTGGTTATTGGGTTATAGGAGCTCTTTATATATTCTGGATATTAACCCCTTATCAGATGTGATTTGCAAATATTTCGTTCCATTCTATGAGTTGTGTTTTTACTCGGTTCATTGTACCTTTTGATATACAGAAGTTTTAAATTTGATATAGTCCAGTTTATCTATTTTTTCTTTTATTACCCGTGATGATGGCCTGTTTTTGTTTTTGTTGTTGTTGTTGTTTTTGAGTGGGGGATCTGTCACCCAAGCTGAACTCCTGGCCTCAAGCAATCCTCCCACCTCAGCCTCCTAAGTTGCTGGGATTACAGGAGTGAGCCACCATACCCAACTCTGGTCTGTTTTTATAAATAAAATTTTGTTGAAATTGGGGGGCCGGGCGCGGTGGCTCAAGCCTGTAATCCCAGCACTTTGGGAGGCCGAGACGGGCGGATCACGAGGTCAGGAGATCGAGACCATCCTGGATAACCCAGTGAAACCCCGTCTCTACTAAAAAATACAAAAAATTAGCCGGGCGAGGTGGCGGGCGCCTGTAGTCCCAGCTACTCGGGAGGCTGAGGCAGGAGAATGGCATGAACCCGGGAGGCGGAGCTTGCAGTGAGCTGAGATCCGGCCACTGTACTCCAGCCTGGGCAACAGAGCCAGACTCCGTCTCAAAAAAAAAAAAAAGAAATTGGGGTAAGGAGAATGAGGTACTGTCATGCAACTACAGTGCTAGATCCTTCCTTTATTTAAAATTTTGATAATTTGTTCATCATAGTTTTTTTGTTGTTGTTGTTTGGTTGGTTGTTTTTTTCTGTTTTTTTTGTTTTGTTTTGTTTTGAGACAGAGTCTCTCTCTGTGGCCCAGGTTGGAGTGCAGCGGTGCCATTTCAGCTCTCTGCAGCCTTCGCTTCCTGGGTTCAAGCCATCCTCCCGTGTCAGCCTCCTGAGTAGCTGGGACTGCAGGCACAGGCCACCACACCTGGCTAATTTTTGTATTTTTTTGTGTAGAGATAGTTTCACCATGTTGCCCAGGCTGGTCTCAAACTTCTGGGCCCAAGCAGTCTGCCCACCTCGGCCTCCCAAACTGCTGGGATTACAGGCCTGAGCCACAGCGCCTGGCCCTCATCACAGATTTTTGCATTAATTGTTATTTGTTAAAATAGTGCATTAGGGCCAGGCACGGTGGCTCAGGCCTGTAATCCCAGCACTTTTGGGAGGCCGAGGTGGGAAGATTGCTTGAATCTAGGAGTTCAAGAACAGCCTGGGCAACATGGTGAAACCCCGTCTCTAAATAAAACTTTAAAAATTAGCCGGGTGGGTGTGGTGATACGTGCCTGTACTCCCAGATACTTGGAAGACTGAGGCAGGAGGATCGTTCGAGCCCAGGACATGGAGGCTGTAGTGAACAGTGATCCTGCCACTGCACTCCAGCCTAGACGACAGTGAGACCCTGTCTCAAATAATAATAATAATAATGCATTAAAATTATTCATCTTGGCGGGGTGCCGTGGTTCATGCCCCAAATCCCAGGACTTTGGGAGGCTGAGATAGGCGGATCACCTGAGGTCACGAGTTCGAGACCAGCCTGGTCAACATGACAAAACCCCATCTCTACTAAAAATACAAAAATCAACTGGGCGTGGTGGTATGTGCCTGTAATCGCAGCTACTCGAGAGGCCCAGGCATGAGAATCGCTTGAACCCTGGAGGCGGAGGTTGCAGTGAGCTGAAATCACGCCACAGAACTCCAGCCTAGGAGACAGAGTTGAGACCTTGTCTCAATTTAAAAAAGAACAAAAAAAAAATTTCTCTTGATTACTGAGTTGTTAACATCACCTTAAATTTTGTGATGAGGGTGAACCATTTCTAAAGCAACCATGGACCTGGAAATTAGAGAAAAGTATGTGCTTGGGGGAGGTGTGAAGGGAGATTATAAATTGTAAAACAAGCATGAAGTATATAGTACATACTATATATTTCGTTCCATCCACAACCTTGAATACTAACCATGTGTGATTTTCTCTCCACAGAAGGGAACTTGCCGAAAACTTAGGTGTGACTGAAGACAAAGTGCGGGTCAGTACACTTGAAAAAGCAATTTGAGAGGGCAGCCATTCTAAAACCTGCTTCAGGGCATTCAAGGCTTTGTCCTGAACATTCTAAAGTTGTTGTTTTTATTATTGTCTTTTTTATGTTGGCAAATAAGTTTTGAAGTTTGGGTTCTTTGTCGGTAGAAAAGGGAGTAAGCTCCAGCTTATGGTTCTTTCCTCTTTCCTGTTCCCATTAGGGAACATAATTTGACTAAAGGAAAAACAAAACAAAAAACTGCTTCTCCTAATCTGTGTACAAAATTAAACAAATACATAAGAAACACATATATGTGTTTTATATATACATATATATAATACATGTATACATATATGTATGTATCCAATAAATAAAATTCAACTCCTTCTAACACTGGTATCTTTTAGGAGCAATTTCTGTGTAGAGTCATGGTGGGGCTCAGTCTTACCTTAGAAGTATTCAAGGCCGGGCGCGGTGGCTCAAGCCTGTAATCCCAGCACTTTGGGAGGCCGAGATGGGCGGATCACGAGGTCGGGAGATCGAGACCATCCTGGTTAACACGGTGAAACCCCGTCTCTACTAAAAAATACAAAAAACTAGCCGGGCGAGGTGGCGGGCGCCTGTAGTCCCAGCTACTCGGGAGGCTGAGGCAGGAGAATGGCGTGAACCCGGGAGGCGGAGCTTGCAGTGAGCTGAGATCCGGCCACTGCACTCCAGCCTGGGTGACAGAGCGAGACTCCGTCTCAAAAAAAAAAAAAAAAAAAAAAAAAAAAAGAAGTATTCAAGTTAATGCAGGGAGGAGCAGGGTTATAAGAGGGTTCGAGTGTACTAAATTATTTAAAGCCAGGCATAAACACTTAGCTAAATGAGTGAATTTATAAATATTGGGATGAGGGACTAATTCACCCATAGAACACGTTACATGACTAAATAATGTATATTTAGTTAAGCTGAGACTGATGGGAAGATAGCTTAAATGTCCAAGCCCCTGGTCCTCCTTTTGTTTTTAAGTTATTGGTAAAGCAGTATAGACAGTGGCAGTGCTAAGTTTTAATTTTCTAAAATACTTTGATGTGTCAACCTGAAAATATTGCTAAAATAGTCACATTATTTTGGAATTGAGGAAGGTTTGTAAGGTTTCTATGCTTTGGAAAATTGTCTAAAGAATGAAACAAAATGAGTAATTGAGTAATATTGAACTCATTTCAATTGACCAAGAAGGGTGAAAAGGTTAAAGAAAAATATGGGCAAAATAGGCTTTGCACATACCATACAAATTCAACATTATCAAACTACTAAATGTGTAAGTGACTATTCTCTTGAGGAATTTCTATCCATCCAAGGATTTATATTTCTTTTTGGTGGTACTTTTTTGAAGGCGTGGGTTTTCTGGAATTTGTTTGGAGAGGTGGCCCTCATTTTAGAGTAGATTCACACCCATGTTAATTTCAAATACTTTTCATTCCTTTAAGCAGTGTTAACTAATTTGTAGGTCATAGGATTCAAATGATGACCATTTAAGACTAAAGAAAACCATACATAGTATCAAAGTGATCTTTTCAAAAAAAAGAAAAGAAAACAAAAATCAGGATGACCTTATAGCTTTTATGCAGAGTTCATGTGTGAGTGTAGTGAGGGAAATGCACTGCAGATCTGGTGGTGGGTTGTTCAAAAAAGCAGCCTAACAAAGCAGGTCACTGAGTGCTGACATCCTAATGGCAAAGGGTGGGCTCACAGTCACACCTGGTTAGGGTTGGAGAAGTTGAAAAGAGGTTGGGACCGCTGTTCTTGGGCTGGTAAGGCAAACTCAGAGGAAAAGAAAAACAAGGTTTTGGTGAGTTGTTTTTCCCCTCCCTGGGTTTACATAATGTTCTCTCCATAGTTCTCTGAAAAGAATATGAGCCACAAGATGCAAATAAGGGAAGAGACAGAATGTACTCAAGTATCTCCAAACTATACAGCATAAATTTCCCCCAAGAAAGTAATACATAGTGTCCCCATAGCTTTTGCGGATATAATGCAACTGGTTTATGAAACCAGTATTGGGAATGTAGACCTAATATCAGAACATACCAGTTAACCCACTGTACACTTGGGTTATGTTTATAGATTTGACCAGTGGTGCACTTGAAACCTCCCAAAATGAGCTCTTTTAGACTTTTAGAGACTGGCCTCATGCAGCAGAAAGACTGCAAATCCTTAAATGGGAAAGTGAAAGAGACATGTCAGGCAGAAAAAGAAGGCCCTTTGTGCCACTTACAATTTGCAGTTTGAAGGCTGGGCACGGTGGCTCAAGCCTGTAATCCCAGCACTTTGGGAGGCCGAGACGGGCGGATCACGAGGTCAGGAGATCGAGACCATCCTGGCTAACACGGTAAAACCCCGTCTCTACTAAAAAAAATACAAAAAACTAGCCGGGCGAGGTGGCGGGTGCCTGTAGTCCCAGCTACTTGGGAGGCTGAGGCAGGAGAATGGCCTAAACCCAGGAGGCGGAGCTTGCAGTGAGCTGAGATCCGGCCACTGCACTCCAGCCTGGGCAACAGAGAGAGACTCCGTCTCAAAAAAAAAACAACAACAACAAAAACAACAACAACAAAAACAACTTGCAGTTTGAGAACTTTTGAAAGTAATAAATACAATATAAACTCCATTAACGAGGACGCTGAGAGGATAGTGACATGTAACTGACAGGTTCTCTTTGTCTGTTTGCTTTTTAATTGTTGGCAGATATTTAGGGAGGAGCCATATTTGTGACTCTTCCCCCACATTGATGTTAGCCATCTTCCTAAAATGCTGGTTCCACCTTTTTGCCTTAGGATTAGGGGTGGGATTCAGATCTCCTGGTTGAGTAGCAGGGCCTAGGGTGCCCTGCCACACTGGGCTACAGCACCTCCAGTCCAGGATCCTGGAGCTGTAGCTAAAACAGAGTGAGCTGACCTTGTCCTGAGCCCAGGAAGGTTTGGAGGGTGCAGCAGGTTGGAGAACGAAGATTTGGCATTGGTGACAATGGTATGCCTCTTTCCCCTAAACTGTTGGGCGGGTAAAGATTTTTGAGCGTTTCAGTTAATTTGGGTCGAGTTGGTTTCAACTTTCCTTAATGCTACAGGCTAAAATTATCAAGACAGTGTCCAGGCCTCTCTTGCCAGGGGACAAATGATCCCTTAGACATCCTGGAAGGAAACCTGTCTAAAATTCCAGTGTGCTCTTTCCTATTATTTACTACATACCAAGATGGATTTTTTAAACAGTCCCCTGAAAACGATTTGAAATTAGGCCCACTTTTTACCATGCCGAACTTCTCCCACGAACAAGGTGAAACTCCTAGTGAGGAGGGAGCAGGCGGCAGCTGGATAGCTGATGGTCACTTGTCAGATGCACACCTTTTGTTACCCTGTTGCCAGGCATTGAATTAACAGCAAGGACCTGGAACAACTCATAAGCCAGAACTGCATCCAATACCTGGAAGTAACCATTAAAGAGTATTAAAACTGGGGCTGGGCACAGTGGCTCACGCTTGTAATCCCAACACTTTGGGAGACCAAGGTGGGAAGATCGCTTGAGGCCAGGAGCTCAAGACCAGCCTGGGCAACATAGCGAGACCCTATCTCTACAGAAAAATTAAAACAGCTGGGCATAGTGTCATGTACCTCTAGTACCAGCTACTTGGGAGGATGAGGTGGGAGGATCTCTTGAGCCCAGGGGTTCAATGTCACAGTGAGCTATGATTGCACCACTGGACCACAGCCCAGGCAAAACAGCAAGACCTTGTCTAAATAAATAAATAAATAAATAAATAATAAAATGGAGAAGAGAGATACAAAGTAATAAGCTTATTCCAGGACTTGGCACAAAGCTGGTGCTCACTAAGGGTGAGCTGAAGGGCCAGGGGCTGTGTTGCTAACTTTCCTAAGGTATTTTAGCAATGAGGAAATAGCTTCTCCTGATGCAGTCTAAAATCACAATAGCATATAAAGCTGCATACTGTGTTTTTCTATTATAACATTAACTGTTCAATATACTGAACCAATCCCCTTTTCCCTCTGATTGTAGGTTTGGTTTAAGAATAAAAGGGCCAGATGTAGGCGATATCAGAGGGAATTAATGCTCGCCAATGAACTACTTGCTGACCCAGACAACTGTGTCTACATCATCTTGGACGAGCCCTAGAATGCCATCCTTCTTCAGGAGCTAGTTTGGAGATGGGTTTTTCTGGTGCCACTGACACCTGGGCTGCCCATGCCGCTCAGGCTACCCTTATTCTCCTCTGAACTTATGTTATCAATAAAGAGGCAAATTCGCAATATATTTGTTTTTGTGTGCCAATTGTGGTTAGTATGGTATAGGTGCAAATTGTTTTTAAAAAGCCATTTAAGGCTGGGCACAGTGGCTCACTCCTGTAATCCTAACACTTTGGGAGGCTGAGGCGGGTGAATCACGAGGTCAGGAGTTCAAGACCAGCCTGGCCAAGATGGTGAAACCCCATCTCTATCAAAAATACAAAAAAAAAAAAAAGCTGGGGGTGGTGGCAGGCACCTGTAATCCTAGCTACGCAGGAGGCTTGAACCTAGGAGGCAGAGGTTGCAGTGACCCAAGATCGCACCACTGCACTTCAGCCTGGGCAACAGAGCGAGATTCCACATCAAAAAAAAAGGCCATTTAAACAAAATGACAAGGAGATCTCCTTTCATGAAATGACATCCCTGAGTTGCCATCAACAATAGGCCCTGCACATCACAGAAGTTTATCAAGTGTCATTGTGAGTTTGCACTGACCCATACGTCCTTCTCCACTCCCCCTCCCTACCCCTGCCATTATGCCATCCTCCTTACCACCTTGCCCCTTTAGGGAACACAAATATGTGCAAGAAGGGGTGAAGCAGATTCCTGGTGAGACTACAGTGTATTCCCACATAAAGCTGAGTTCCATTTATGCTGACTAGTTCCGTCCAAATTCTGAACTCTAAAGAGAAACTTCCTAGGTGGCTACTCATAGGATTTATGGGAAGGTAGCAGCTGAATATTGATCTACTATGCCCCAAATTCTGTCCTCCCTTCTTGTGGGGGACACAGGGGAATAGGAGCCATTCTGCCCCAAAGATCCTGCTGCTTCAAAAGAAACACAAGCAAAAAATTCATTAAGCCCAAAAAGAGGCTCTTCTGCCTTTTCTCCCCTACCCCCAGCCTAGGAAGCATATTGTTACACCTTCCCTAGCTCAAAAGCAGATGAACAATCCTTCAAGTTTATTTTGTCATCATCAGCATCTTCAAGATAATCCCACTTCCTGCTGATTACAAGGTGAAAGGGGACCTTTTCATTTAGTGCTGCTCAAACAAGAGTAAGAAGATGGTGCCCTGAGCAATGTTCCAGAATAACCACTCAGTGGAACGAAGCAGTCAGACCTCTGCTTCGTTCATGCTATTGTAAATCAGAAATAAAATTCGAAGCCCCCCAACTATCTGAATGGATCTCTCCTCTCAGCCAAGGGCATTCCAAAGTTAACCTGAAAAACTTGTTCAGGTCATGATGGGACGTAGGGGTCAGACATGCCTTATTATTCCCTGCTCCCTTTTGGAATTCATGTACAGCTGACCAGTATTAACATTAGAACAGAACTGAAGACTAACAGATCTGTAGCAATAAGACACCAATTTCCAGCCTAACTCTAGTATAGCATCACATGACAGATAGCAGGCCCTGAAAGAAATCAAAAGTATTTTACCCTATGTGTTTCTTTGCTGTATTTTGAAATAGTCCTGCAAAGCTGTCTCTTGTGGGGGAAAATGTACATTCTCAAGAGAATCCCCTTTCTTGTGCAGGCCTTTTCCTTGATCCAGGAGAGAATCAACTCAAGTAAGAAACATTTACAATCTATTCTCTCTGAAGCCGGCTACCTGGGGGCGTCCTCTGCATAATGGGAACCTTGGTCTCCACAACCCCTTATCTTAATGCAGACATTCTCTTGTATTGATTCTTGGTCTTTAGACAATAACGTAACTCAACCAATTGTCAATCAGAAAATCTTTGAATCTACATATGACCTAGAAGCTCCCACTTTGAGTTAACCCACCTTTCTGGACAGAACCAATGTTGTACATCTTACATATATTGATTGATGTCTTGTGTCTCCTTAAAATGTATAAAACCAAGCTGTAGCCCGACCACCTGGGGTACACATTCTCAGGATCTCTTGAGAGTTTTCATGGGTCATCGGTCACTCATATGCGACTCAGAATAAATCTTTTCAAATATTTTAAAGAGCTTTACTCTTTTCATCAACATGATCTTCTTTTTTTTTTTTTTTTTTTTTTTTTTTGAGACGGAGTCTTGCTCTGTCACCCAGGCTGGAGTGCAGTGGCCGGATCTCAGCTCACTGCAAGCTCCGCCTCCCGGGTTCACGCCATTCTCCGGCCTCAGCCTCCCGAGTAGCTGGGACTACAGGCACCCGCCACTTCGCCCGGCTAGTTTTTTGTATTTTTTAGTAGAGACGGGGTTTCACCGTATTAGCCAGGATGGTCTCGACTCCTGACCTCATGATCCGCCCGTCTCGGCCTCCCAAAGTGCTGGGATTACAGGCTTGAGCCACCGCGCCCGGCCAACATGATCTTCTTTGTACAAAACTTCCAGGATAGAAAGAAAACAAAAGCAAAAATAAATTAGGAAGATGAAGAGGCCCAGCCCATTTTTTGAGACAGAGGCTTGCTCTTTCGCACAGGCTGGAGTGCAGTGGCACGGTCTCAGCTCACTGCAAGCTCTGCCTCCTGGGTTCATGCCATTCTCCTGCCTCAACCTCCCAAGTAGCTGGGACTACAGGCGCCCGCCACTACACCCAGCTAATTTTTTCTTATATTTTTAGTAGAGATGGGGTTTCAGACCTGTGTTAGCCAGGATGGTCTCAATCTCCTGACTTCGTGATCCACCTTCCTCGGCCTCCCAAAGTGCTGGGATTACAGGCGTGAGCCACCGTGCCCGGCCCCCATTTTCAAAGCATAAAGTTCTTCTCAGTTTAACCTTTGTTTTTGAGTAACCTTTAGCAATATGAGTCTCCTTCAACGGAGTTTTATGTTAAAAGTGATTGTGAACCCCACAGTCATATTATAAAGTGATTGCAATGACTACAGATAAGGTACCAGTTACCCCACAATTTCCTCTCATGGGTCTTAATCAAAGACCAGTTTAATAGTGCTCGTATGTTCCCAGTGTAAAGGAAGGCTCTGTTTCCTTGGAAAAGCATGCCATGGTGCCTGCTAATTTTAATTCCTTACTTCTTCCTTTTTTCCACCTATGATTGTCAAATGTCAGCAAAGTAGTATGCATAATATGTGGCTTCCACAGAGATAAGGTTGTTATTGCTACACAGAAGCCCCAGGCCCTGTTGGGAGTGTGGAAAATCCAAGAAGAATGTACCTCACCACTCTCACAGGATGATTTTCAAACCAGGTTTGTTACATGGGTGAACTTGTGTCATGGGGGTTTGTTGTACAGATTATTTCATCACCCAGGTATTAAGCCTAGTACCCATTAGTTATTTTTCATTATCCTCTCCCTCCTCCTACCCTTCAGTAGGCCCTGGTGAGTGTTATTCCCCTCCATGTGTCCATGTGTTCTCATCATTTAGCTCCCATTTATAAGTGAGAACATGCAGTATTTAGTTTTCTGTTCCTGCATTAGTTTGCTCAGGATAATGTTCCTTTATATGGCTGCATAGTATTCCATGGTGTATATGTACCACATTTTCTTTATCCAGACTATCATTGATGGGCATTTGGGTTGATTCCATGTCTTTGCTATTATGAATAGTGCTGCAATGAAATACATGTGCATGTATCTTTATGATAAAATGATTTATATTCCTCTGGGTATATACCCAGTAATGGAATTGCTGGGTCAAATGTTATTTCTGGTTCTAGGTCTTAGAGGAATCACCACATTGTCTTTCACAATGGTTAAACTAATTTACATTCCCACCAACAGTGGAAAAGCGTTCCTATTTCTCTGCAGCCTTGACAGCATCTGTTGTTTTTTTTAATAATTGTTCTTCTGACCGGCGTGAGATGGCATCTCAGTGTGGTTTTGATTTGTATTTGTCTAATGATCAGTGATGTTGAGCTTTTTAAAATATGTTTGTTGGCTGCATAAATGTCTTCTTTTGAGAAATGTCTGTTCATTTCATTTGCCCACTTTTTTATTATACTTTAAGTTCTGGGATACATGTGCAGAACGTGCAGGTTTGTTACATAGGAACACACGTGCCATGGTGGTGTAGTGCACCCATCAACCCATCATCTACATTAGGTATTTCTCCTAATGCTATCCCTCCCCTAGCCCTCCACCCCCAACAGGCCCTGGTGGGTGATGTTCCCCTCCCTGTGTCCGTGTGTTTTCAATGTTCAATTCCCATTTATAAGTGAGAACATGCAGTGTGTGGTTTTCTGTTCCTGTGTTAGTTTTCTGAGAATGATGGTTTCCAGCTTCATCCATGTCCCCGCAAAGGACATGAACTCATTTTTTATGGCTGCACAGTATTCCATAGTGTGTATGTGCCACATTTTCTTTATCCAGTCTATCATTGATGGGTATTTGGGTTGATTCTAAGTCTTTGCTATTGTGAATAGTGCTGAAATAAACACTGTGCATGTGTCTTTATAGTAGAATGATTTATAATTCTTTGGGTATATACTCAGTATTGGGATTGCTAGGTCAAATGGTATTTCTGGTTCTAGATCCTTGAGGAATCGCCACACTGTCTTCCACAATGGTTGAACTAATATACACTCCCACGAACAGTGTAAAAACGTTCCTATTTCTCCACATCCTCTCCAGCACCTGTTGTTTCCTGACTTTTTAATGATTGCCATTCTAACTGGCATGAGATGGTATCTCATGGTGGCTTTGATTTGCATTTCTCTAATGGTCAGTGATGATGAGCTTTTTTTCATATGTTTGTTGGCTGCATAAATGTCTTTTGAGAAATGTCTGTTCATATCCTTCAACCACTTTTTGATGGGGTTGTTTTTTTCTTCTAAATTTATTTAAGTTCCTTGTAGATTCTGGATATTAGCCCTTTGTCAGATGGGTAGATTGCAAAAATTTTCTCCCATTCTGTAGGTTGCCTGTTCACTCCGATGATAGTTTCTTTTGCTGTGCAGAAGTTCTTTAGTTTAATTAGATCCCATTTGTCAATTGTGGCTTTCGTTGCCATTGCTTTTGGTGTTTTAGACATGAAGTCTTTGCCCATGCCTATGTCTTGAATGGTATTTCCTAGGTTTTCTTCTAGGGTTTTTATGGTTTTAGGTCTTA